TTGACCACAGTGATGTTCTTCAGAGCTGAAGCTTGTTAAATAAAACACATAAATATCAACTAGTAGGCTTAGAGTTTGATCCTTAATCTATTTACGTTTGTTTGATTGGTTTAGTAGTACAACTAACTCTCACACAAATAATTCAGTTAAAAGACAAATTTTTCAGATAAGATTAAATTATCTAGCTATCTAAAATTTACTTTCACTAGGTTAAATTCATTTCATTTTTCGCTTTACTGGCTTTTGATTCTGTTTTATTCATATGACGAATGTGTATACATTATCCAGTTAGCAAAATAACACGTAATTACAAACTGTAATACGAATACCCCAACCCATAACATAAATACAGTATCCACGTGTACAGTTTGGGACCAGAGTTATTCCACTAATATACAAACGACCTTCCTTCTAATATGCTGACAGTATCAAGACACAGGGAGCGATAGAAACGGAAATGATTGTTTAAAGCTTCAAAATGACCTGCAGAAGTTATTTGGATGTTCTAGTGTTTAGGAGCCATCTACAAGTGCTCCAAATGCATTATGATACATATAGGTCACCAAGATACAGATAAATAATCAATAAATGACAATGAATTACCTGTTGCCAACACAATGACAGAGGAGTGATCATTAGCCAAGACATTAAAACTACTGCACACGGTCGTGCGATAGTCCCCAAAAGGTTCAGAACCCTGTGGTTAATTCGTAAAGCCCTTAGTCATGTCGTTGCTAAAATCTTTCCTACTTTGTTTATAGTTTTCTTTCGTCCCAAACCTAAGAAGGCAGTAAGTAATCGGAGAAGGTTTAAAGGAGTACAACTTAGTTGATTACCGGAATTAAAAAGCTACCATATGACAAGAGACTGCCAAGTTAAACTTATCCCTCTTGTTATATAGAAGGACTAGAGGTAACATGATCGTTGTTCTCAGATCACTTCTCAAAATGAAAATACAACTGAGTAAAAAGAAGGAAATATAAAATACACATCAACCCTTTTGAATGTTCTGATTTTCTTTCGTTGTTTAGAAAAAACAATTACTTGGATTCATATTGTCTTATTTTCAATACCTCTGTTATATTTCTATTTACCAGGCTCAATTTTGTCCACTTTATTGATGTATAATTTGATTTCTTTCATGAGTATGTTGCGAAACTTGTCTATCTTTGAATTTTAATACACCGTTAAATCACTTCAAATATTATTGTTGTTTCATTATACATATGAAACATGAACAAAATAAGAAAACAACAAGGGAACAGATAAAATGTATATATGTTACAATATAATAAAATATTTGACGATTAAATAAACATGTGAGCACATGTATTAGTGAAAGGGAGTTCTATAGTATAGAAAGAAGAGAATCAGGTAATACATAAATTTTGATAAGCTCAGAAAAATCAACTAACCAGAAAAGAGAAGAGAATAAATCTAAAACTATCCATTAGAGACAAGGAGTATGAAAGAATGTTAGAGAGAGAAAAAACTTCAGAGCAGACAGGATAAAACAAATCTAATGAACTGATGGTAGAGGTAGAAATAAATAGTTCAGTAAAATCTACCATATTCTGTCAGTAACTATAGCGTCAATAAAATATCTAGTATTCTGTAATTTGGATAAATAAAAGACAAATGTGTCAAAGAATATATCAAAGGATATCTACCAGTAGTATGAATCATTATCATGAATGGACAACAGAAATCTAAGCCTGATATGACCACATACTCCTCAAAATAATATTGCAATTTATAATGATTACCAATATGTAGGTATGATTAGTCTTTAAGAATTTCTCTTTAAATATATTATTTTATCTTTTCAAAAATGATCTATTAAATTTCTAGCAAAGTTACAAACAAACATTTTAGCAAAGAATATTTCCGAATACTGGGGATAGACAATTGCTGCGAATAGAATTATATCGTGTAGTACATTACATAGACAATATCAAAAATTTCACGTTTAGTAAGAAATATTTAAGTACAGTTGAGTTATATAGAATACAAAAATAAGAATTCTTTTTAACTTAGTGACTTTAATGTCACTGCCTTACTTGCTTACTTTAGAACTTTAATGAGAAAAGAATTTTATACTGTACTTTAGCTTTTAATTGAATAACTTTGTTGTCAACCAAAAAAATTTAATATAATTTTTTATATTTTTGTTGATTGGAAGTGTATAAATAAATTAGTTATTGAAATGATTGAAATCTTGCCAGCTTTTGGTGGGACTTGACAAAAAGTGGTACATAAAATCTTCAAAGAAACATATGATTACTGTGTATTACTTAGTTATGTATCTACAAGTCAAGTTATTTATTAAAATTCAATTAATACACATTTTAATCACTTTGTATGCAGCATTTGTACATGTGATTTGGAATATCATGAAAACGAGTTTTTTATGGTTTAACACAAATATTATTAGAAGGGGTTTTGTGGATATTATGATAACTTCAATAGTTGAGATCATGAGTCAATTGAAGCTAGACTACCATGGAAAACCCGGAAGCACTGGACGGCCTTTCCGTCCTCTTGTGGGACTCCTTAAATATTATTGATTAATATTAAAGAAGCAATTGACCTCAGTACATTATTGTCTAGATCTTTATTAAACACATCTAAAACTAATACAGCTCTGTTCTATACACTCGTGTCAGTCATTGGAAAACAACAGTTACATATTCATTATCATTTTCTAGCCTATTGTATGAGGAGTTTATCGTATGTAATTTTTGAGAAAGTGTAACAAGAATTAAGTTAGGGGATAAAAACAAAATAAGATATTTGAGGTTTCATGTATCGTTTGTATAATTCCTAAAAAGATTAATGAAAACAAGATTACAGGAATAATTAAAACTATTTGATTACTAAGATATTTACACTTGTTTAACTGAGATAGAGTGGGATTTGGTGTGAAAGAAAACTCAGTTAATTAACCAAATCATATAATGAAAGCGAGATAGAGAAACGAGAAATAAGTAAGGATAAATAATGATTTTCATACGAAACATGCTAGTTATAAGTTGGTCAGAATTAGGAATGTGGACTACCATATTACAACTCCGTGTCTCAAAAGGATAGCGTTCGCTTCCGAATCTGAAGGATCTAGATTCAGTAATGTACGTAATTATTGACATTAACTTCTGAAGAGTACTAAGCCACCACAAAAGTTTTATCCAATGCTTTTGGATGTTCAGCTTTCAATTACGTAGTGTCAGCCCATGAGGATAACGATTTCCACATCTGATTCCATCATATACCTAATCCAATTTAGTAGATTACTTTTATAGGAATGTAAGTAACTAAAACTGCTGTTTAATGTCTTTGCATTGAGTTATTAATCTTATTCGTGAACGGAATTATCAGCTAAGATCTCCTTGAGTACCTATCGGTCACATACTTACCTATGACTAGTACTATGTACTTTTTAGATATGAAAAACTTATGAGAAACAAAAACATCTTATCCAAATAATCTCTTTTATTCATGAAAATAATATCAGGTTCTTCATCTAATTGTGATTCGTAAGTCTAATATACTTCCATCAAAAAGTGTTGAACTTTCGATTAAGTTCAGGGTATTTCAGTAATGCTAACAAACTAAGATTATTGTCTGTCGATGAAAAAGAACTGTGATTTTGAGTTATATGAGATGTTGTATAAATTGAGTATCATTCTCAAACAAACAGTTTTGTCATAGAAAAAACTAACAGATTATAACTATCCTACAGGATTCTACATAGATGTTATAGCCTTCTTACAATGACTAATTAAGCCGTCAGAACATGAGTCAAGAAACACAAATTTCAAACTATCATTAACATGGATTAAGTATCATTCAAAGCAACTAATTTCTTGTATTTGTCAGTGTCCACTAAAGAATTCAAACACTATTTAAGAAATCATAACCATATAATGGTACTGACTAAAATTGCTTTATATAGTGAACATTGTCTACAAATAGTTTGTCTTTTTCAATACTATTTTGTCTACTCACAAGTAGTGAAGACTTGATTGCATATATAATCTACAAAATCTTAATAGTGAGAAATCAATTGAATCAGAAATACTTTATTCGAATTGAATTTAAATTTGTTTCATGATAAGTATTAAAGAAAACCGTTGGATTTTAACATCTCAAATATTCATTACTTTGAAGCATACTGTTTCAATTTTACTGTTGTCACAGCATTGAGGATGATAGAAAAAAACTACAGTATCAAAATATATTTCGTCAATTGACTTAACAGGATTCTGCTGCTGTAAATAACTTATCAAAAAGTAGAGAAAGAGTTCCTCGAAAAACTTCAAAAATTAAGTAAAGAAAATAACTATTGCTTTGACGTAACATCTTTATCACAGACTGACAAATTAATTGAGGCACATAATTCACTTAGCTATATAATAATTTTCATTTCGATGTTGGGACACCGGTGACCAGAATTGAAATGATCTCGTCGGAATACGGAAGGAAATTGATAACCTATGAGACTACTAAAATTGAAAGTAAACACATTCACGAGTACTATTAACTAAAGAGCGAGAATGTGAATCATTCAGGGGGGTGACAATATGGTGTTCAAACACGAAACTGGGTGTGTGTTCAACTTTATTGTACACTACTGAGAGGTCCAAGACAAGGTAAATAACTATCTATGGCTCCCTGGTATTAAATTACTTTCCAACTAATATCATTTCATGTTGAAAACTATATACAAATCGAACAAATTGGTATAAACTATGTAACTAATTTCTAGAGTTTTCGCTGTATTTAGTCGATTTACCAATTGTATACATTAACTCCATTTTCTTCTTGTTTCATTTTAAATAGGTAGATTTCCCATCCACTATTGTAGCAGAAACTACCATTCTGATAGAATTCTTCTTTTTAGTCCGATGATATGTTCAAATATTACTTCATTATATATATATATATATATATATATATATATATATATATATATATATATATATATATATATATCATTTCCTCCCTCAGTGCTACATCTACTAATATTAAATACCATTTAATATAGACAACAATATTCTGTGTTTCGCCATACAAAGATTGGTTCAGTCTAACATGTCACATAATAACATATTTCTAACCTAATGGTTAGAGGTTTTGACAACTCATAACGGTTCAGCCCTAAGGGTAGACATGTACGCAGGCTTTCTATAATCCAAAGCAAATTTCATGGTTACAGATACAATTTATGTAGCTTATGGATAATTATGGAACTGAAAAATGTTTGCTCGAGATAGTTCTACATAAATATAAAGCATTTAAGGTGAAATAGACTCCAGAATAATGTGATAAATGGTAAAGTTAAAGAGGTATGACCAAAATTGTCAATTTTCTACTTATAATTTACAGCAACTTAGAAAGAAGTAAATAAATGTCTACACTCTACCTGATTTATCCTTAAGATAAAGTCACAACAAAAAGTTAATGTAGAAATGAGTGTAAATTGTTTTGCAATATATTAATTATTCTTGATTTACAAATTTCTCTAAATTTCCAATGTCCTTTCTAATTGTGTCATCATCTGGTTGAAGCTTTTGTGCAGCTCTGTATTCGATAAGTCCTGTGTAAAAAAAAAATTTTAAATGTTTTAGAAAATTATCAGACGTTAGATTTATCTAGCTTTATGTTTATATTTATTGACAAACATTTACTCGTAAGAATTCGTGATATCTGACTCCCTTACGGTATCCTGGATGAAACCTAAAAATGTATATTATTAAACAACTAAATATAACATCGCTTCAAAAACACTATACATGAGTATGCATGTTTACAGTCTTGACTATATTTTGTAAAAGATTGTAAATAAATAACTAGACAATTATATACTGACTATGTGAATGGATAGGATTTTTGATGGTTTTGTGAAGATATCTCATCAGCATAACAAGGCAGTTGTTATCAGACTTTCCAGACTTAACCTATGTGTACGGAATAAAAGCATGATAATTCTATCTTTGTTATGGCAAATATAATTGTAATCGGGTAATTTTCGCCTCATATATAATATTACTGATGCTCATAAATTAATTTGAACTCGTTGCAAATTATATTGACTTATTATTTATCATTTTCTTCATTATGATTACTAGTGTCGATGTTCTCACTTCCGCTACTCTGAACGACTATAATTTCCAAAAATAAAAATCCATCAGTCTTGACCGCTTAATAAAATATGTATCTTATTCCCCTTTTCAGTGCTTTGATCCCGTTTCGAACATTCGACTACAATACACTCACATAAGTATATCAAATATGTTTCTAACTATATCACTCTATGTAATTTTAGGCTGTTTAGAGCCGATGGAAAGCCTTGAAACAGAATGAATCCCTTTTATTTTGGGGATCTTGTTGTTTTTGCTTTGTTCAAGTTTATCAGGCAAACTAAATTTATAAAACTAATATTTTAAAGTCATCACTATAACACTTCATTTCGAAATATCGTCTATTTCAAAAAAATCAATTAAAAGGAGTTTGAAAGTATAAGATAGTAGTTTAGGTCTAAAGTTTGGATCACTGAAATTCAGCTTCAATTTTAGGAGACTGAAAATTGTTGTATTTTCTCTCACTCGTATATTTATATATTAAGGGTAAAATCACTGATACTACTATCATCCAAGTTTAAAACAATGTATGCTCTAAACTGCAACAGATAATAAGTAACATAATCTTATGCTTTATAACGTGTGCGACCAACGACGCTTGTATTTCAAATTGTATGCTAAGGTAACTGCTTCTCCTTATTGTCCTTAATCGTGCTACGTGTTTTATCTACAAGATACAATACGTGCAACCTATATACACTTAATCTTGAGAAATGTGTCAGTTAGTTCACTCAACAAGTAAATCATACTGACAGATAAACGTAACGGTAAAATGATATAGTAAGTATAGTAGGTCGTGAATTTTTTTAGTAATTCAACATTTAATATAGCTATTAACCTACCCACCTTCTTTGTACAATTGTAGATTACAAAATGCTGCTCCACGCCTAATATGTGCACGTACACGTGATTTTAAATTTTGCGCTACAGGCGGTACACAAAGATCTAGTACCATTGAACTATCCTCTAGAGCCTTAAAATAATTCCGCAATTGTAAGTGACATGCAGCTCTATTCGAATAAGCCCTTTAATTGAATTTTCGAAATTTTGATTAAGGAATAGAAACAGTTATTTTTTTCAGCAAAATATTTCAATATACAGTTAAGCAAACTTTCCCATGGATTATTGTTACTTCATCCACAATAACTAGATTATAATTGTTTTTTTAAAAGCTGTTCTACTTGTTCAAAGTGAAAATTATTCACACGAGAATAAACGCACATGATGAGAAATAAGATTTTCATTGATCTTCTGGTTATGATTCAGGATAACAAAAATCAGAGAACATGCTTTTTCGTAAATCAATAGAATAAAATAGTTTACACGATAACCTTTGCATAACACAAAATAGTAAGATGAAAAATTACCCATTATTATGTAAAATGTTTTTAGGTATGTTACTCGCAAATAATAATTAGGACACCAAGTGATATAGGTCCTGATCTCATGGATTGAATTCGCTATCGAAAGATGGATATAACTAACAAGTACCGATTAACACGAAATCTAAGGTTTCCTTCCAATCATCTCCAACCACTCAATAGCAGAAAATGCTATATGGAATATTGAGCCACTTAGACTAGTGGCCAAAGTACAATTTGATTTAGAGAAGTTTAACAACACCAAATAACATATATTAATTAATCTCTTATGATTAATCAGTCTATAATTAGTAGTGTACTTTAATGTTGCTTAAACAAATTAATAATTTAGCTTTCTTTCAGGAATAAACTTTCAGTTTCTATCATTTATTAGCTTATAATCAATAAAATATTTACAAACCAATATAAATTCAGTTAAATTAAAATTATAGATGAATTTTTATAATGATAAATCCGTCTGAAGAGGAAATTGATATAGAGAGTAATGGTTTATTAAATTAGAATGCGAACGACATATGAAATTGGTTTTCTTTTCTCAACCTTGTATTACATGTATTCATGTCTTAAGAAGCATTATAAATGCTTCATTATATGATATAGTAAATGTATTCACACAGTATGTTAATGAATTATTATTATTATCATTATTATTATTAAATACAATTCATTTCAATGTATACAAACCTGTAGATCAATCTAACTGTAAACAAACCATATAAAATATGATATATTCTAAAATTATTTCGATTTATTTTGGGAGTTAAATAAACCCTTATCAATAGTTTTCGCGCCTTTTCTCTTATATTCAAGTTGCCATGTAGATTCAGCCAGGGTCTATTAGAAGTGGCTAGGAAATCAGATCGCGAGTTCATTTAGTAAGACTTGTTATAAATCATGTTGTTTATCTTATTAAGTTTGAATTGTGAAAAAAAACGAGGTGGGTTCTAATTTATTATGTAAATTAATTTTACACAATTCACCGTATCATTATCAAGATCACTGTTTTGTTTATTCACTACTGAAAGAGATTTTTTTTAAATAAGAGGTTTATGTAGATTAATTTCAATTGATTGATCACTGGATGGTGATTAATGTCATGTGTGTCAAGTCCTTCTTAGTGCAGATCGAATGCTATCGATCAAGTTCCAATGTGGCCACTAGTCTAGATGACTCGACATTGCGTGCAGTATGTTGAGATTAGATGGTGGTTGGAGGAAGTAAATCTTTTAACATAAATTGACAATTCATTTAAAGAATTAATTCAAAATGAGGGTATGTTTGTGATATAAACTGATTATCTGGTAGAATTTTATGAAATTTAAAATGAATACTGATTAAAAATAAATTTCTTCCAATTATTCATTAGTTTAACATAAAGGATACGAATGTAATTTAGGATTTTGTGTTATAGCTTCTGTATAAGCAATGACAGCAGCTTCATAATCTCCAGCTTGAAATAATGAGCTTCCGAAAAAGAGACAAATAATAATAAAATGTTAAACATTGCATATTAATGTTTCTCTCTGAGTTAGATAATGAATGAATTTATTTTTAATATAAGAATGTATAGCACTCACATTTAATAAACTAAAAAGAAAATATTCTATCATATTTACAAACCCCCTTATGATACACTTACTTCACATTTTCATAAAATATAACAACGTCACATTGACTTTTCTTCATAGAAGCTGTGCTATTAGACTTTTATCTGGCTTAGGCAAATGACTGTAAACAACTGAACTATAGTCCTAGAAGTGGTAAAAAGCATAAACCTTGATTACTGTAGTGCAGAAGCACTCACTAGTTCATGTTTATAATAATAACCGTTTATCCATTTTAATTCTGTCTGTATGTGGTTGTAAAGTGTAACAGTTTAGGCTGATGCAATGCAATTTTACGTCACATGTCTAATAAAAACAATTTCGAATGATATAAACAGTTTAATAGTTACAATCATAACTGCATTCGAAGAAATGATACAATTTAGTTAGTAATAATGACATTCTCTCAGAGTGAGAGACAAAAAAGAAGAGTGAATGAAAAAATGGACTTTCATAATCGGCCCATTCAACTCGTTCAGATGATACAGTCTCGAGATATCAAGTATAAGTTAAGATCAGTGTATCTGAAACCAAGCAACAGATGATCTATCAGTACGCAATAATATCTTATTATTATTATTTAGTACGGGCTGAATTCAAGACTGTATTTAAGGTCAGATTTTTTGCGCCAGTGTTACGTCCTTTCACTTAGACAATTTAATTACGAAGCTTTGATTGTCAGTTTCTGTCACCACGAGTGTTAACCTCAAGTAAAAATTGATTTTCAACCATCTGTATGTCTCCAGTTTCTGTAAGGTTGTGATTGGATGTAGTCGATATTAGACCCTAGACCTAAGTTCCGTGCTATTCGGTATTTGTCAGTAAGGTGTACTTGTAATATTGAGCGAGCTTATGATCTCTAGCGAACTCGACCGCGAATCACCCACCTCCAGTCAGAAACAATACTGTTGAGCGGCCGATTGAACTCGATCGATCAAGTTTCAGTCATCTATGTCCAAGGTTTCCTATTAACCGCCTCCATCTGGACCAGCTACCTTTCCTCGTTTCAGATTAACTATAGCCTTTTGAACTTCAACTAGAGTCGAGGGACCTACTTCAATGTTCCATTCACACTGTCTGGGAATGGTGGGTAGTTGTAGAATAGCCGAAGGCCAGCTGAACTGCTCCTTAAAGTGTTCCGCCCATCATTCTAAACGTCTAGACTGAGAGTATATAATAGTGTCGTATTTTCCCGAGATAGTCTCACACTTGACTTATTACTTTCAGTTTATTTTACTAGTCTGTAGAGCAGTCTGGTGTTACCTACAGACGTTCCATCTCTTTTGCTTTCATTGCCCACCACTGCTCACGGTTGTTCCCTAGACTTTTAATTAACCTAGATCTGACTTGTTTCCACTCTCAATCGTGTTCAGAGTCTGGTAAGATGAGTTTGCTAGAATTTATCAGTGCAATAGACTTAGTAGAAATCCACTGGTGATTTTCGTGACCCTTTGTTTCAAATCACAAATAGATGTCTCTGCACTAGAGAATGGCCTATAGGTTCTACTCGTCATTGCAATATTTATCTGTTCTTTCTAAGTACGGTAATACAGAGTTGTATGTGCATTCAAGTACATGGGAATACAAAATTACAGAAAATCTTAGTAAAATCCGAGAACCATACAGTAAATACTTAATTTACAAAATGTCAATCATTTGTCTTAAACTTGACAGTTCCTTCTACAAATGTCAATCAATCGTCTCAAACTTCCTTGTTCTTTTGATTGAACACCAATCATTTTTTGTTCTCGTCCTCATTTCTGTGATTTTAAGATTCTGCCTCCAGGTATTTCACTTTCGACTGATGATACATACTACTTATATCTGTTAAAACCAGTAGCACACACCACAATACTAACAGTTCTTGAAGGTTTTTCACTGGTTATTTATTAATAGTATTTGACTTTTATTTGGTTTATTTAGTGCAGTGAACATACAGGTAGTTTAACTACATGCACACAACAATTTTTTATGTTCATCTAGTTAACAGGCTCAAATGTAATTTCTTACAAAACTGTAATTTACTCAGTATGCAAATGACAAAGGATTCCATCTACGTATTTCGCATAAACTATTAAAAATTTTAATCAGTCAGCCAGTCATAATCAACTTAAAACCTGGTGCATATATGCACTGATTCAAGTTCCCACACTGTGTCAGCACATCGAAACAGAATTACCAAGCCTGATATCAGAGTGGTAGAAGGAGCAACCGTATCAGTAGAAAGCACTAGGTATAAACAATATGGTGTTATAATTCTCTCTTACGGTTATAACCCAGCTATTCCTATTGCTTAGTATTCTCGGACACCAATTCACTCGACAAGTCCCCAAATCAGAACACGGTTGAACGAGGGAGAGATTATATTCCAAATAACAAGGTTAGATGGAAGTAAGAAGCACAATAGGAAAAACGTTAGTATATCTATAGTTTTTACATGAAAAGTTTTCTACAGTATTCTCCAAGCATCGACTAGCGCTGATTGGGCAAGAATTAGCCAATCAGCGTGCACCAAAGCAATCGTGCATTGAGCATGCTTTAATCCAATCTATGTCCCGCTAACATATGGTTTAAGAGGAGAGAATGAGTTTTCGGAATAAAAATGCCGTGAGGTAATTCTAAAACTCAAGATCTAAGTGAAGACAAAGAGTGAATACATTTACACCTTTGTGACTGATTTTATGCCATGTCACTCAGTGACTCTAACCAATGGGTACGATAACCACCTACTAACTTGACTCATTTATTCAGTCAATGACTGACGCCACTAATTTTAATGAATAAGAACTGGCAATATCTTAGCCGACATATAAAATTTGTCCACAGCAGGAGGTGGACCGCTGGACCATACATAGTAAAGAAATAAAACTTACTCTCCTTTTTTGCGTAACCATATAGGATCTAGTTCATTCCTGGACAAATCATTAGGCACAACACGGTCCAATAGTTTTCTTCTATATTCGGCTTGTCTGTTTAGCCACTAAATGAAAGGGAGAGAGAATATAAATACAGTAACACACACACGTTTCAATGATTACGCTAAATATATTGTTTTCTCTTCTTGCCCCTAATGTTTTTTTGTCATTTTGACCTAAGCTTAATTTACAACAATTTGCAAAATTTTGTTTGTATTATTCTTAATGTAGCTTCACGCTGTTTGAAGCGGGTCAGAAACCTCGGAATACAATGAATTCATGTCGTTCTGAAAATCTTATTCTTCTCACTTTAATCAAACTTATCAAGGGATCAGGATGTATGAAATAACATTGTGAGACCAACAGATCACTAAATTTCAACAGTCCCGTTCCTGGATTAAAGTTTTATATCAGTGTAACATGTGTCATAAAATAACCAACTGAAACGTTAGGAGCTGTTCATTTTTTCTGAACGCAGGTACAATATAAATAAGTACATATAAAAGTGTGGTGAATTTTGCATCACATCGCGCAGGTAAGTATGTTGACGTTATTCATGAGAAGTTATAACAGAAAAATACAATTACACTACAGTTTAAACTATAACAAATATTTTAATAGCTAGAAGTTAGTTTGTATTATGAAATCAAATGTAATTTTTAGTTAAAATTACCTCATCCTCAGCTTGTTTTGTCGACTCTCGTTCAGGTGTAGGAAATACTCTAGGTGTAAATTTAACTTCGATTGTAGATGAAGTCCTCACTGGCAAATCTATTGGTTTCTGAATAAATGCTAAACGTTGGATATCCTTATTTAATTCCACTAATATGAGTAATTCTGTTGAAAAGGAGGAAGACATTTATCTACATACTGTTGTTTTCTTCATCAATGGTTTCCGTTATATATTGTTTAGCAAATCTTCGGGCTTCTGTAATTTTATTTTCCAGCTTTGTATTTTTTTTAACAAAATAAAACTAAATTAATATTTATTTATTTATTTGCACTAATTTAAAGAAGAGGTTTATTCCATAAACTATATTATACATAAAATTGATAATGACACAGGTAAACTTTAACAAACTAGAGAATTTGAAAAATTACTGTGTTCCCAAAATAGTTCAAATTATCAGTTTACTGAGTGATTGATTATAAATCTTTTAGAACTTAGTTTAATAGTATTTTATTTCAGAGACGTCATGGCAAGAAAACTTACTGTAATAGAGTATACTTTGGATTTATCGATTCTATGAACAAGCTTTCAATAAAGGACTTTCATAAGTTCTAATCAACACGAATATTACTATTCAAATACAATAAAAAGTCGTCTAATTTCATCATTTTACGAATGAATACAAAATTCCATATGTGTAATCATTATTTTTTTGCGTATTTTACTAATTTGTCAGAAGCTGCTGAATTAGATGGGACGTAAAATACCAGAATCATACCACTGAATTATTATTTAGTTATGATATAGTATAAAATTCGGTTTATCTCTGTGATCTTTAATATCTGCTGCATATTACGAAGGCTTGGAACTTATACCGTATCTATATATCTTGCAATAGTTATGACTAACATATCTTTTGATAGAAAACAACTTTAATAAGGAAGGATATTGGATAAAATCTAATATTTATTTTTATTCAAACATTGCCAAACTATATGAAATCAGTTGTTTACTCAGGATCAGAAAGTATTTATCCTAGAAACCAGACTAAGTGAGTAGTCAACAAAATTTTTCCCAAACGAGATAGCGTAATCCGTCTCTCAAACAGTTTAATAATAGTTAATAAGTCAATTAAAATTAGTTCCTATCTTTAATAGTAGGAATTACCGTGGAACATCATCTGAAGATCAAAGTACCAAAAGTGTTTAGTCTCGTGCACAGAGAAAGAAATCATGTCTATGATGCCGAAATCATTAATAAACAGGAAGAACAAATCAGTAGATCTCAGATACCTATCCCACAATTCCGGTTAGTAGGGACATATTTGGAAGATAGACTTTTATATACTTGACTTATTCCTATTCCGAGTCACAGCAGTTTCGGTGGTTAACTAATTTTAAAGGATTAAGTGGGAAAAAACGCAGTTTAGTCATTTAGAGAGAGTGATTTTCTCTCTTTGAAATTTTTAGTGATGGTTTTTGATGCTGGAACGAATTAGGAGTACCTATTGTTGAATAATCGGAAAAAATATTCACTGTTTAATTCTAAATGTACAATTATCAGAAGTAAGAACAGGACGATAAAGGACCATGAGGTAACACTACAATAAATCATTATATATGGTTCAGAAATAAATTCCTAAATTTACTGTTAATTTATTATAATATTGGTGTCAATCAACATCTACAGTTCACCATATCTGAACAATAGAAGTATAGTCAAGTTTATTCATGAGCATATTTTTTAAGTTACATTTATTGTCTCTCCAACACTCAATGGTAGTGACTTTGGCAAATCAAACTGAAGCATTATTGCGGCGGGTTCTACACTTCCTTAATCAGTTTAAATAATGTCCTTTGATAATTCCAACAACAGTTCGGCCTATGTTAGTATAATACAGAAATAGACTTCATGTTATATTCCTGGATACTTACCTCATTCTCTTTTTGGCTAGATTTGTTAAAAACATTTACAAACTCGCTTATCGCTTGTTTGCTAGCCTGCTCCTTTTCAAGTCTAATTTTCTCACGAGACACATTCTCTAACTAATAAACAACGACAATTTATTCAAAGATAAATACAGGAAGTTACTTTCATAATCTGTTCCAATGCGTATTTTTCACCCCTTATATTCATTTCTTTGTTTGCTTTAGCGCGTTTCATTACGCGTTCTTGATGCTCAAGTATGGCATTTTGTTTAATTTGTAACAGACTTTTTCTGTCCTCTAAAGAGTTAATTAATTTATAAATATTAAGCATCTTAATTCTTAATTAGTAAAATATATAATAACAAAATGAAATATATCGACAGAATTACTCATGTCATCTAATGTCAATTGATTCCATAGTTCAGCACTAGATTTCTTGAGGTTAAACTCAGCCGCACCATCTGATAGTTTCAATGTACTCTCTTCAACGTTGATCGGTTTGTACAACGCACATTCAAAAATGTACGGTTTGATAACAACCTATGGAAACCATAAGATTTAAAATAGAAATGTAATATTTCCCTGTCTATAACGTGTGGTTATAAATTTAAATATTCAATGGTAATATTCAATCTAAATTGTTAAGAGTATATGTATGTAAATTTGTTCATACATCTTGAAAATGCAAGTAGATTTACATGTGCTAGACGATGCAAGTGTCTGTGGTAACAGTTAGAAACTTTTGTTACAATTTACCAAAGCTTGTTCACATGTAGCCAAAACAAGGGGCTGAAAAAAACAGTCAGTAAAGAACTTCTAAATTGAGACAGGTTATTCCTACTAGATTTTATATACTTCGGTAGCACCAAACAAACGAAATAGATCAAAAAAGCTGAAATTTATGAGTTTATCGAATCATGAATAAAACACATGCATATGGTTAAAATTAGGATGACAATATTTTCATATGGATCCAGAAAAAAAACTAAAGAAAATGAGTAATTAAAAGTTTTCCATAAAATTACGTACATGGAGTAACTACATCAGCCTCCAATGGAGATGCTTCAGTGAACTGTAACCTTAGAATTATCGACTAAATAAACTAATAAATTGTTAATATTTTAGATTAGAAATCAAAAGGTACTAATGTCCCTTATACCTGATTCACAGTATGTGTTGTGTTACATACACGAAATCGTTTGTTTTCAGTAACGTTCTACATTTATAATATTGATGAGCCAGAAAGTTTTCAGCGGGATAAAGGGAATCTTTTAAAGGTTTTATGCTCACTAATCAAACCCGAAAGTTTTAGAAAATATGCTCGTGGTCTAAATTCAAACCAAACTGGTTAACTTTGTTTTGTTCTGGCGACTAGACAAAACGATTTATATCACATATATCTGTTACAAATCCCTTTTAGAATAATGTTTAAGATAATGTGAAAGTAGCAACAAGTATGAACCCTCAAGGTTAGTAAACTTAGTAGGGTAAAATAACTTAAGCTATGTGGTTAGATATTATCACAAACTGAGATCTCCCTTGGCTAAATCTACGCCCTGCTTATTCTATGAGTCTGGATAGATGTTTTTAAAGAAGCAATATTTGGTATTGGTTAAGTTATTCTAGATTTTTTATTCACTGATCAAAAACGTAATCGTTAAACTTTAACTGAAGTCACTTCGCTAAAAATTTGATTTGTTGCAAAGTTTTTCACCAGTTATACTGTTTTGCTTCTTAACCTATTACTACTTTAAATGTACTTTCTACGTTTTTTTATCAATTTTTTGGATTTTACAACATAAATTTATATTTGTGACTTCTTGGGAAATGTTTTTACTTGTGTATGTAACTAGGGTTTTTAGTCAATGTGGTGGTTGACACTGAGTATGTGAGCAGCCTACTCACCTCATTATATCTAAAGATAGAGTACAGTTTAACGATTGTGATAAGTGATATCTAAGGTTAAAATCATCCTAACACCTAATGGTTATGACTGGATGAGTACTAGCTGCACAGAAACAGTAGAGCAGGTCAGACTATAACGGCTTTTGTAGATTTCTCCGCTCCTCTAAGTTGTTTTTGCTTCATGGGGCTATAGCCTGATGTTCAATGATTAGTGAACTTCCTGTGAATGTTTAGAGTAATAAAGATCCTGTTCATAGTGCAAAAGTTGTGGATCTACAATGAACTCAATAAGAGACGCTTATATTCCCACTGAATAATTTAAGCATTTAAATAGGTCAACTTGGAGAAGACTACGAGCTATACTTGGATAAATATTGCTCCAGATTTAAACCAGTTAAAGATCCTCATATAGCAGCATTTGATTAAACGTGCAGTTAGTTAAAAAATCAACCCGTAAATCGCCAAAACTCCCAAAGCACACACAGTCAGTACCTTATAATAATACGATTACTGTGAAATTGAAACAACAAAGTACTGATAACTGACCTTCTGTTCCACAATTAAAGACCCCAATTTCCAATCAGTTGGGGATTATGGAACTTTCACGACACAAAAATTTGGGATTTATATTCGATTTTGTTAAACTTGGTTGAAACTAGCATAATTAAGACCTTATCCACTCAATCATTAGCTTAAATCAGTTTGCTATTTTAAGCTTAAATGAATACGTTATATAATTTCACTGATAAATTTTAAGGTATTTTGTTAATGTTAACGGAACTTATTCACTTAATGTAGCTCAATAAACTCAGCCTTGAGAAAAACAAACTATATCAGGACTATATGTACAACAAAGTGGTGAAAACAGGAGTGTGACAGCCTCTAGTAAGATGGATAAGCTCTAATCTTTCCAGATTGTAAGAGAACCATGTTTACATTTTTAACCTATAGTCATACAAAAGCTCAGAGAATAAATGTATTGGCCACGTCTTGATTTCAGTTAGCTATCCAAATTTTTAACTATCCCACTTTTTCGCCAGGAGCTAACTTGGATTTCCTGGAAAAAATGTGCATTACGTCATAAATGTGTCGGTTTTTAGTTAACTAAATGTTCTATCTACTACCTGAATCATACAGCATTTTTGATGGCCAGAAAGTCTGACTCCACTTTGTTCGTATGATGAAGACGAAATATGCATGTCGGCTACTTTCATATACAATTATAGACTTAATCAACGTTAGATAATAACAAACCAAGTCAGATGAGATAATGAATTCTGAATACGTATATTTTATACATTCGTCGCGCAGTCAGACAATAAGATGAACGAATTGCAGAGGCAGACTGGAGTAGATAAACATGCTAAATCAACATGCTATTCATTGCAAGCGTTAATATGACTCAAAATAGATAACGAAGTGTGAAAAAGAGACGGGAACTGGATAAAGAACAGACAAATACGCACAAGGTGCTTAAGCGTATAAATACAAGGATGCAAAAATAAAACATGTACGAATGCTTAAGGTCAAAACTTCCTATAAAATCAAAAAGATTATTGCGAAGACAAAATGACTTCGCAGTAATATGCTGTCTACGTTGTTTAGATATGTTTAAAACTAGGATGAGTCATATGTGAATATTGGTACTAGACACCACACATTTAACACTTACACCTCTATTTCGTGTGAGAAACAAATACAGTTCTTAAATATAGTGAAACATTTTAATTGAAAGCCGATTCACAATAATGTAAACGAAGATACTACTATAACCATTTTATTAATTAAGCGTCAATTGGTAAATAGGTTGAAGTGAACGGCACTCATTGCAACTTACTTTGACATATTGACTTGTAATAAGTGTGTCTACATTTGATGCACTGATACCATGTAGGGGTACAACTAAGTCTACATCTGTAAGATTTTCACACCAACGAAAATCTGTAATGTTGATTAGCATTTTTGAACTTCGTAAAATACGATACTATAGTGATTTTATCCAATCTTCAATGACTCTATCCAATATCCAATATCTTTGTCACGAACTCGCATGGACAGAATCACTTTTTTGTCTCCGTGTTCTTATTGCTTTAGAGAGGCTCCAAGCATTTTGCAATATTCAGTTGGTGGCAGTCTGGCCACTCAACTGAATTAGTTCTAGTTGTATTTATTAAGCTGTATGCAATTATCGGATCACCTATTGTCCTGAAGCTCATTGAGAATAACCCTAGGTGTTCAAGTCTATCTTCGTCAGATTTATGTTTTAGCCCTATCATCTAGTAGGGGTAAATAAATTCCAAAAATAAATAGCTCTGTAAATTTACGACATTGGATGCCGACCACATTAGTCTTAATGGATTCATCTAGCTGAAGGCGCTCGGTCATGCATCCGCACCGGATCACGTGTGGGAACGCCGTGCTCAACATCCACTGCAATCGCTAGCCAGATTAGATCAGACGATACAGGATATATTGATAGCCTTTCCCAAATGGGGAAGCCGCTATAGTAAACTTTGGGGAAATTTTGGGAAAATGGCACGAAAACCCCAAAATTTCCACTGACTGTGGTTTTTTCCCCGAAATTTCCCCTGATTTGGGGTTTTTCCCCAAAACTGTTTTAAGGCAAAACTTCTACCAAAATCTCTAGACATCACGTAAAACCTAGCGAGAATACATACGTACATTTCTTACTGTGATGTTACATAATTTTGTGTCAATTACGCCTGGCCAAAGAAACTTAACGTTAATCGATGCTCGCTTCGACCATGTTCATTTCGATTTGATAGGATCTTTACCAGATTCGAATGGATATTCTTATCTTTTCACCTGAGTGGACTGTTTTACTCGATGGAGTGCTCTCACACTTTTAGATGTAATTTACAAAAGTAACATGTTTAGTTAGCTTCGCTCTACCCCTAATTTTTTAGGTTTGATAATGCTCCAGAGATGTTTTTTGTATAAACATACATATGTCAAAATGAATTTCTTAAAAGCTTACATAATAATGTGTCGTTTTGAGTACTTCGCAGCTAAGATCATACGAAAACATTTTAGGTTTAAAGATGCCTTATATATTCGGAGTTTGACAACAATTTTACCAGTAACATCTCCTAATATGTATCGTACCCACCAACTGAAATCAAAAGACAGAAGCGAGGAGGTTCGAAGATATATTTGATAGGCTATCAATATATTGAGGATCGTCTGATCTAATCTGGCTAGCGATTGCAGTGGATGTTGAGCACGGCGTTCCCACACGTGATCTGGTGCAGATACATGACCGAGCGCCTTCAACTAGATGAGTCCATTAAGACAAATGTGGTCAGCATCCAATGTCGAAAACTTACAGAGCTATTTATTTTTGGAATTTATTAACCGCTACAGGTTTAATGGTTTTTCACAGATATTCGTTATACACAGTACACGTTCTATTATTTGGATCCAAATCAAGTAAGACGTTAGCGAAACTTGTGATCTGTGAATTAGCATTATTTTATGGCATTTTCTTTAGTTTTACCAAATCGGGATAGGATAGTTATTTCTCAGCAGCATGCTCTGTTATCAAATTAGATAAAATAAAAGGTAGTGTAAATCACGCCTTTCTGCTGAAAGATTGCCTTTGAGACTAATTTGTCAAATAAACTGTAAAATAATAACAATTATTAATTATCAAAAGACAGTTTGTTATATGAGGCATGCCAGTTTACAGGCAAGATCAAATTGTCACAAAAAATACAATTTTCACTGTAGCAATTCTCAAAGCAGAAGGCATGTGGAAAAGTTTGTAGAGTCCAAAGGGGGTTAATATAGATTTTTTAGGAATACCATCTGCAACCATAAGAATTTGTTTATGTTATATGTAGTCCCTTCACTCGCAACACCTTTATATATATATACCTTTGTATACCAACCCAGTCAAATCAGAAGGGAGAAATGAAGGACTTTGAACATATACTTGGAAAGTTGTCGATATGTTGAGAAACGTTTGATCTAAGCCGTCTAGTATTTGCAAATGATGCGTAGCATTGTTTAGTGGCGAACTGGTACAGCTGCACAATCAAGCGCGCTCAGCTAAGGTGTCCAGTAAAACTAATGAGGGTAGCATCAATATCAGAAACTTACAGAAGTACTCATTTCGAGGATTTATTGACCGCTACTATCTCTTTCGCTGTCGAGATACGAATAACCGTAATTGACGTTGCATCCTTAATACGTTTGGTAATTCCTACGCGAATTGCATGGAACATTGTGATTTGAGTACTTGAAAAGTTCGTTTACCACAAAACGTTTATGAAACCCTGACAACCGTGGACATATCTGTAGGTTGTGCACCACTGGTCTGAAGTCGAAATTTCTTTGCTTTATCAGCAATGGCACGGAAGTTGGAGTTCGTTCACGGATGCTGACTACTTTCTACAATGTCTTGACCTTAACAGGCAGGCAGCAAATGAAAAATTGAATGCCAACTACTGCAGAAGATAAGTTCACCTTGACACAAATTTGTGCAAACTCGTCTTCCAAGCGTTTGTTGTTGCAGGCATGTCCGAGTCAATCATTGGTACAGGCCTGCTACAACACCAAAATTTACTGGTTAACCTATGTAAATGGCGGTTGGTAAATAGAAATGCTAAAGCACACAAGGAAGCCACAACGTTGGCCTACTTGAAAACCTACCTAATGATCCTAGGTATTATCTTAGTCAAGCCACCCTATTCAACTCTTTAATCCCCCATAATTCGACAAATACACTATCTCGTCCTTTTTTATCTTTCTTCTCCTCAACAGTGCTGCTATGGGGTCTCCAAATGTTGGGGGCGACAATCCCACTATTCTGAGACCATCTATACACTCCGACCCAACGGGGAGTGGTACATCTTTCTCAACGTCGATAACTGTCTCTAGTCTTAAAATCTCCTTGACTGAACCTCCTGATCACTTCCCGAATACACTACCTAACCATTCAACCCTACATTTCACTCTTCAACACACTTCTTCCGCCAAACTAACCTACAATTACCTTTCTCGTACTAGCCCTATCGGTAATAAGCTAAACGCTCATCAATATGGAGTCAACACTCCCAATTCTTCCTTTTTTCATGGCAAAATAGACAACCCACGGGGTTCACATCATACCCCTCTACTAAATAAACACTTAACGTGCCTGGCACTTATGTAAATGAACGCCCCATCTGTACAAAGTAAGATGACTTACCTACGCACCCTATTACTTTTAAACAACCACTCACTTGTTTTGATGACGGAAAGTTGGCTGTCCTCCGATATCACAGACTCATATCTACAAATAGACACCTATGAGCTCTTCCGCTGTGATCGAGTCAACAAGAAGGGTGGTGGTTGTCTTGTTTGTGCATCAAAAAATTTGAGGGCGGAAATCTATAGCGACCGTGTCCTCAGTAAACTTCCTGATTCGATATGGCTTATTGTGCACTCGCAGGAATGTAAAATACTGATCGGATGGATAAATCGAGCTCCTAACAATCCTAGCTCAACTGACACTATTATAAGTGAGTCATTAGCTCAAGATGCCTCATTTGATTCCACTTACAAATGCGAGTTCTGGTGCCGATGACATCTCTTCAATCCTTTATAAAAGGTCAGGACCGGACATACAGACGTTATTACTCAAAATATACACATTATCTTTAGAGACAGCTACAAATCCGGAAACCTGGAAAGTAACGTATGTTCTTCCCAGGACCGATAAGCCTGATCGAAAGCTATAGACCTATAGATATCACTCTAGTTATATCACGCATAGTGGAAAAAGTGGTACAAAATCTAATAGGCCCGTCACAACACGGATTCATTAGAACAAGGTCCTGCAGTACATGTCTGGTAGACTTCTTTAACAAGGTTACTCGCTTACGTGACCAAAAGAAAGTAGTGTATTATACTGTACTTCGATATTAAGAAAGCCTTTGATAAAGTACCTCATAACCTCTTAATCAACAGACTTCGGTTGGTTGGAATCACAAACCCCCTATCGCAATGAATCAAGCCTTTTCTCACGGACAGATAACAAATGACTAATATTAACTCTACAACATCTACACCTCGATCAATAACCAGTGATTTTGTACAGGGCAGTGTCTCGAATCCCTTGCATTTAATAGTTTACATCAACAATACATGCAAGTGCTTTAGCACAGGTAAGACTTACCTCTATGCTGATGACTTAAAAGTCATCCATAAAACCGACGTTTACGATATACCTAGTACTATGCAAACAATCCAACATGAACTCGACTTGGTAGACAAATGGTGCAAACGCTTGAGTTTGGAGCTATGTATTGATGACACGTCACTTAAAATAGAACTAACACTTAACAACAACACACTGCCCAGACTGGCATCAGTAACTGACCTAGAGGCACATTACTCACACAGTCCTAATTTCTCTGAACACATCTCAGCCGAAGCATCTAAAATGAGGAAATTGCTTGGCTTCATTCTCAGTGATTTCTATCAAAATGAATCTAAAATCCTTTTTTAAAAGTTTGTATAAGACCTATCGTTGAATACTTCATCCACAAAATACTTAAGACTGAATCAGTCATTGACTACAGTGCCCGATGCAAAATCTTAGGAACAGAACCCCTTTAGAATAGAAGACTTAGGTCCAATTTGATTCTCTACTTCAAACTACTCAAAAACCTTACTTATTCAACATGTAAGATAGTTCTTGCCCGAGATTTACATGAACACGAACTTCGAAACAAAGTATCTACGGTCAAAGTTTAGAAATACAGATCAAAAACTCGGGAAAACTTCTTCCTCATCAAGTATGCAATAATTTGGAACAGTCTTCCCTCTGAAATACGCATGGCAGATGAATTACATACGTTTGTAAGACTGCTTGATCAAGCTTTCATTTGCACTGATCTAGCACGTACGAACACATCAGCGCCCCACTCAGACATCACAGGCTCTCTACATTTCTAAACCAAAATGGAC